AGCCCTCACGGGTGGACGTTCGGCCGCTTCATGTGCTACCTGGTGTTCCTGATCCAGCCCGTCACTGTATACGTGTCCGTTTTCACTCTCACGGCTATCGCGGTCGACAGGTGAGTGCAAGCACCTGACCTTCTAAGGATCTCGCTAATGGTTCACGCTGTTACGAGACGCAGATATCAAAGCTAAGTGTGGTTGAAGTGGGTCAGATCACTTGAGATGAAAGGGTGTGCAAAGGATGTGCACAGAATGATGGTTCTTTTGAAAAGGGTTTCATCTTTTTTATGCTGAAGGACTTTGGAGATCATTAGAGGTTTGGCTTAGGAAGTGAGGACTGCAGTTTGAGAGGAGGGCCACTATCCATGCTGTTTTGATGTTTGTTGACCAAATTAAAACTGTTTCTTGCTTTCTTTACTCATAAAATCTGTTAAGGACATGTCTGCATCATATTTCACCCCATAAATCCCATATAGAAAGAAATAATTGTGTTTTATTGTAGAAAAATGTGTTTTATTGTAGTTTTGCATTGTGATTCTCATGACCAATATTCAATTTATTTGTACTATAAATGTCAAAAATAAATAATGATGTAATAATATGAATTTTTAAATGTTGTTTAAATTTTATTTTTAAATTTGTATTGAATTAATGTTGATTTAAATAAATAAAAACACTGTATTACTGCATTTCTTTTACTATAGTAAAAATACAATTAAATTGATTCTGAGAATTAACATGGTTTTAATATAAATGAGTAAATAATGAGAATTATTATGCATTATTCTGTTAGTGAAAATAATATAATAATATTTTATTAGTGGGAGTAATAATAAGTCAAATGTCCAGTGTTACAGTATGAATTACAGTAATAAGGAGGGGAAAAGTGTTTAATGGTTAAATATGGTTAAATGTTTTTGGGGTAAAATTTGAAAGGAACATAATTTGAAAATGCATTACTGCAGTTTTTACTATAGTAAAATATAACAATATTAATTCTGAGGATTAAAATTATATTTTAATATAAATGAGTAAATGAGAATTGTGTATGCATTATTCTATTAATGAGAATAAGAAATTTAAAAAACAAAAACTCAAAAAATGTCTAGATGAACTACAGTAATAAACATTTGTGGGTAAATGTGCTCAATGGTACAAAAAACATTTATAGTTCTAAAAAATACTAATAGTTCTAAAAAAACAGGCTTCATTTTCTTAATACAAAATATAATGTTTATTATTATTTGATTTAATTTTGGGGTAATGTTTGAAAGAAAAAAAAAAGTTTCAGATTCTGTTGAGAAGTAAAATATTTTAATGTAGAAATTGAGAATTATTTCCAAATTATTCTATTAATGAGAATTAAAAAAAATAATAATAATAAGTATAATGTATTAAAATGTCTAGATGAAATACAGTAGCCTAATAAGTATTGGAGTATAAATGTGTTTAATGTTTAAAAAAAACCGTTATGGTAAATATATAATGGTAAAAAATATAGGCAAATTTTCTTTATACAAAATATAATCTGTTTCGTTGTTATTTAGTTTGGGGTAATAGATATATAATATAATATAATATAATATAATTAATATAATATAATAATGTCGAGTGAGTCAAGACACCTTTATATATAGCACTTTATAGGCTACAATACAGATTGTGTCAAAGCAGCTTTACAGTGTTAAACAGGAAAAAGGTGTGTTGATAATGCAAAAGCACAATAGTAAACACTCAAATATAATATATATAACAATGCCTAAATCTTTGTGTGTTGTAACAGGTACTACGCTACAGTGCACCCTTTAAAGAAGCGAATCTCAATGGCTGCCTGCGCTTATGTGCTGTCTGGGATCTGGCTGCTGTCGTGTGTGCTGGTCGCCCCCGCTGTGGCCCACACGTATCATGTGGAGTTTAGAGACGAGGGTCTAACCATCTGCGAGGAGTTCTGGTTGGGCCAGGAGACCCAGCGACTGGTGTACGCCTACAGCACGCTGCTACTGACCTACATCCTGCCTTTATCCGCAGTCTGCGTCTCTTACCTCTGCATCTCCGTCAAACTCCGCAACTGCGTGGCCCCCGGACACCGAACGCGCGACCAGGCCGAGGCCCAGCGGGCGCGCAAGCGGAAGATCTTCAGGCTGGTGTCTCTAGTGGTGGCGGCGTTCGGAGTCTGCTGGCTGCCCATCCACGTGTTCAACGTCCTGCGCGACATTGACATCCGCCTCATCAACAAGCGCCATTTCCTGCTGATCCAGCTGTTGTGTCATCTGTGCGCTATGAGCTCGTCCTGCTGCAACCCGTTCCTGTACGCCTGGCTTCACGACCGTTTCCGCGCCGAGCTGCGCAAGATGTTCACCTGCCACCATCGCATCGGTATACCGGCCAACCACTGCGCCACAGCGAGCGTCGTGCTATGATGCCACTCATGGCTTCAGAAAGGCTGAAAACACTAAGTGCTATTTAAGATCTAAATGGCCCACGAAATGTAAATAACAGTAAAGAACCTTTTGTGAAACAGAAAGGTTCTTTATGGAGCCATTTAGACAAAAAGGGTCTTCTATGGCATCGTGAAGCACCTTTATTTTAAGAGTGTACATAAAGTGGCATTTGCAACCCATTTTGCTCCTGCAATGTGATGTTTTGGGAGTAAAACAGGATATTTGGTGTGAAATAAAGGACGGGAGTTAATTTTATCCATCAGGAACTAAATGGATTGTGAGAAGAGTCTCTGAAAGGTGGAGATGTTGGTGACCTTAATTTAAAAAGGAATTGAAGGGTCTGACCAAGACCATCCGTTTTGCTGAAAGTTTACAAAGACATTACAAAACAAATCATGCGGAAGAAGTAAACAGGGTCAGTTTTTGATTTGATTTTTGATCTTTTTTGCCATTTACTTTTCCATTAGCAATTTCCTGCTTATGAATCATGAATCAAGAGGATTTTGTGATGATTGAGTACATTGTGAATGTGCAGTGCAATATGTGAACACTCACATGATAATCAGAGATGTTAAAGTCTGATTCATAATGAATGGAAGAGCCTATAGGGACAAGCATTTGAGTCAAACACACACACACACACAAAAGAAAAAAATAGAGCGAACAGCAAAGTCAACTTATTTATCTGTGCTTTGAGGAGAAAGCTTCTGCAAGTTGTTTAAATTATTGCATGCTATTCATTAAAAAAAATAAAGATTTACATTTAATCAGTTGGCGTTTGGTATTTTTTTAATTGAATGTGTAGCCTATTGTTCAAATGTTTGGGGTCGGTATGATTTTTAAAAAATATATTTTTAAGAAGCCTCTTATGCTCAAGTCTTTTATTTGATTAAAAGTTAAGTATTTTTCGGAAGTGTTTTCTATTTTAATATATTTTAATGACGCATGTCATTTATTCCTGTGATGCAAAGCTGAATTTTGAGCATCATTACTCCAGTCTTCGGTGTCACATGATCCTTCAGAAATCAGTTTAATATGCTGATTTGCTGCTCAAACATTTATTATTATCAGTGTTGCTCTGCGTAATATTTTTGTGTGAACGGTGATACCATTGTTTCATGATTCTACGATGATTAAAAAGTAAAAAGAACATATTTGAAATAAAAATCTTTTATAAATGTCTTTGCTGTCACTTTTGAATCATTTCATAAATGAATAAATGAGTAATCTTGCTGACTCCAAACTTTTAAGCAGCATGTATTTCAAGTCAGTTCTCAAGTTGGCACAGATGTCCTGGCAGAGCAATCACAGGTGTAGATCACCACATTAACTATGCTCTTTCTTTTGAAGTAAATGCCGGTTAGCGGTTAGATTGATATTCTGTGCTAGCCTATCTAACGCAACGACTTTCTAATATTTTCAAGTGTACAATACCTTGTGTAAATGCATCAGACATCAGAATGCAAGTCGTTGACTGAGTTCCTGTCGCCAGAAGGGCTTTTGTTCAAAGCAGCAATTGATCTTAAAACCAACAGCTCTCATGAAGGACCATATAAATAAGACAACATGAGAACAGGCACTTTAAATCATCGTGATGACATTTTAAACAGTCTGTAGGCCTATTACAGCCTCAGGCAACTGGCACATAGCCTACTAATAATGCCATCACGAGTTCGACGCTAATAATATCAGGATCTAGGAAATGAACGTTCCTGGAATGGTCATCCAAAAGGACAATATGTTAATAGAAAATCCATTTGTTTTGGACATAGGGATTTTAGAAGCTGCAATTTATGCAAAAAGCACAAGCATCAATCAAACAACATGAAATTACAGGCTCCGGCACGATTATACATTCTGATCATACTTCCTGCAAACACGGCTATTCACAACAGCCCTGCATCTTGAAAAAAAAATCCTGCTTAATTTGACTTAATTAGATGTTGAGTTAAAATATCAATAAAACTTTCCATTACATAGTATGTTTGCGAAATAATGAAAATATTTCTAATTATAAATATGTATCAGCTTTAATGCACTTATCAAAATAACAGCAGTCAAATGTCAAAAGATTTGTTTTTAAATTACAAAAAAAAAAAAAAGTGTTCAACGTATAATTTATCACTTACAAATAAATGTTCAAATATGCCATTTAATGTCTTACCTTAAAGTTGATAAATTATTATTATTATTATTACAAAAATAAAAAACATTTGGGTCCTGTTTGCACTGTCACTGGCAATAATTCTAAAGTTGACATCAGGATTAGGCATAAAATAATGTCATACATGTGAGAGAGTTGTTCAGAGGAAGATAGAAATCCTATCTTTGTGACCTTATAAATGGTTTTCAAAAGCAAAAATGCTATGAAATGCACATAGTTTGTGAGAAAGTAACATGCTAGAGCACAACGGGCAAAAATTTGTGGAATCAGCAGCCCAAGATTAGTAAGAAACAAGTATTGGATTCCATTCAGCACTGAATAGCACTAGCACTAATTAAATAAAATGGCTTTGCAACATAAAACAAATAATTGAGAAAACAAATAATTGAGAAATTTACAAGTTCAAACAAAAATGCATTTATTAACAATGAACAGAACAATCAGTGCAATCTTTGAAATAAATTAAATCAATGTAATAACAAAAAAAACTGATGGTATCAGGAAATCAGCAGCAATTAATTATACGTTAACACTATGACACAATTATGCCTCCTTTAGCTCCTTCCGAACCTTTCGATACATTTCCATTTCATCCCGAGAGTGAATGTACACTCTAAAAAATGCGGGGTTAAATATAACCCAGCGCTGGGTTATATTTAACCCCGCATTTTTTAAGAGTGTATGATTCTATTTCATTGTCTGATATGTCTTCATCTCCGGTCACTTTCAGCTGCAGAGCGTCAACCTTCCGCCGCTTGCGACTCTTCACGCAGGGAGGTAAAAACAAGTGCCTTTTACTCCAGTGGTTTGGTGGTAGTTGACAATCTGTGGCTTCCTTATCAGGAGGATTCTCACATTCTGCCTGACCGGCATGCACGAGCTCAGGAGTCTTTGAGGAAGGTGAATCAGAGCAGTTTGAATCTGATGGCTCTTTGTCGCATTCTGTCATTTGGGTCTCATTTTGCAGTTGTTGTTCGTAGTTTCTAACGGCCCTCATGAGCAACGCCTTGCGGTTCTTCAAGATGTCATCCACCAGTTTGACCACGGTGTTGGGCTCCACCTCGCCGCCCCTCAGCCACGGCAGCTCTCGGCCCAGTTTACATAGCACGTCCCGCAGCTCTTTCAGCCGCCTCACAACCGAATCTCTGCTCCTGCACCACGACTGTTCAGGTGCTTGTCCGATCTTGCAGAACTTATTGAAGGTGTATTTCATGCGGACCTGCAAAAGATTATGTATTATATAATATAGGGTACATTTCATGTCCATTGATAAATATTTTTTTAGTGCTGGGCAACGATTAATCGCATCCAAAATGAGCTTTGTGTACATAATATGTGTGTGTGTACTGTGTATATTTATTATGTATATATAAATACACACACACGCATATCATTTTTTCACATTTTGTTATGTTGCTGCCTTATGCTAAACTGCTTAAATGTACTTTTGTTCCCACATCAATCTACACTCCATACACCATATTGACAAAGCAAAAACAGAATTGTCAAAACTTCGTAAATTAATTAAAAATAAAAAAACTGAAATAAGTCAATTGTATAAGTATTCATACCCTTAACTAAATATTTAGTTGATGCACCTTTACAGCCTCAAGTCTTTTTTGTTTGATGCGACAAGCTTTGCTCATCAGCATTTGGCAATTATCAGCCATTCTTCACCTCTCAAGCTTTGTCAGGTTGGATGGGGGCAGAGGCACATTTTCAGGTTTCTCCAGAAATATTTGATTGGGTTCAATCCCAGGCTCTGGCTGGGCAACTCCTACTCTGACGAGTTCCTCAGTCCCTGCCGCTGAAAACCAGCCCACAGTATGAGGCTGCTACCAGCACACTTTACTTTTGGGATGGTACTCTGCAGGTGATAGGCGGAGCTGGTTTCCTTCAAACATGATGCTTGGAAGTGAGGTTCATCAGACCAGAGCATATTATTTCTCACAGACTGAGGGTCCTTTAGTTGCTTTTTTGCAAATTCTAAGTGTGTTTTCATGTGTCTACACTGAAGAGAGAAGTGAGTCCTGCCACACTGCCATGAACCCAAATCGATGGAGTGTTGCAGTGGTGTTTGACCTTCTGTAGTTTTCTCCCATCTCCACATATGATCATGGAGCTCAACTAGAGTGACCATCAGGTTCTTGGTCACCACACCAGGTTGTTTCAAACTTCTTCCATTAAGGGTAACAGAGACTACATGCTTCTGTGACCCTTCAGTGAAGCAGAATTTTTTCCTGAACTCCTCCCCAGATGTGTGGCTTGACGCAAACCTGTTTCTGAGCTCTACAGGCAGTTCTTTGGACCTCAGGGCTTGGTTTTTGCTCTGATATGCATTATCAGCTGTTAGACCTTTTATTAAGATGTGTGGGCCTTTCCAAATCATACCTATTCAATTGAATTTGCCACAGGTTAACTTCACTTCAAGTGTAGCAACATCTACAAGCAATATGAATGCTCCCGAGCTAAATTTCAACTGTCCCAGATAAGGGTATGAATACTTACGCAATGGAATAATTTACATTTTTTATTTTTAATAATATATATATATACACACACACTGTATGCATGTGTCTTTAAATAAACTTAATAAATATACACAGTACACACATTACATAAACAAAAACTTTTATTTTGGATGCGATTAATCATTGCCCAGCACAAATTTTTTTACAGAAATGTGTTTTATCCATTAAGAAAACACATACTAATCTCACACTAGTTTTTCAGTTTGCTTGAAATTGCCTTTATGTCTCTTACAGTTTTTGTAATGTCTGTTTTTAGAATTGATGAGGTTTGAGTTCAAAATAATAAATAAAAATGTCAAGATTACCTATATTCATTTATACAATCTAAATACATTAGAAAAACAGACCGAGTTTCAATTGAAAATTTTGAACACAGTTGTGCCACCTAATATTTTTGTGGAAACCATAAAATCTTTTTTTTTGTTTTTTTAAGGATTCTGAGTAGAAATTTTATATATATATATATATATATATATATCTTTTGAAACATTATAAGCGTGTTTACCATCACTTTCGATCAATTTAAAGCATCCTTGCTGAATAAAGTGTTAATTTCTTAAAAAAAAAAAAAACTTTTGCACAGTATATGCATTTGTCAGATATCAATGTCTTACAAAATGCACTGATGATAGCACACGTAATGCTGGGTACACACTAAAAGATTTTTAAAATCTTATAAGATCTTCAAAATGTGAGAGACCACAAACATGAGAACAAAAAATCCTAGATTTAACCGTTTTACCCCTATAGTGTGTGGTGTGCCGCGATGTTCCCCCCACACATCAGAATTTCTGATCGTAAATATTCAACATGTTGAATTTTTACAATTCGCGATCGGGGTGCCTCCGACGTTCTTCCGAGCAGATTCAGTCACTCTTAACACACCTCACACCACAGGAAAATCTGATAAGATAATCTTTAGAACCACCAAGATAATTAAAAACAAATAAAAACAAAGGGTAACTCAAAATATAATACTATAAAAATCACACAACAATAACACTGACATAGACTAGGATACCAGAAAGTTTTGTTTCCAAAAAAATCCACTTGCTGGACACGACAGCAAGCTGTCTCGTGATCACGACTTAATATTTTCTCATGATCTCGACATAACGAAAGTTGTTTTCTCGTTATCAGGCCTCTTAGGACTTCCATAGAAAAGAAAAAAGAAATGTAAAAAAAAAAAAAAGTGAATGATGCAAACTTTCAAATATGAGACACGTTCAAATTTCAGTGTAAAGCAACTCAAAAAAGACAATAGTGTCATTATTCAGCTTAAGTTCAGTGTTGATTCAGATTCGGTTCAGTAACTGTAAAATGAATCAATTATAAAACAAATTCAATTCAGCTGTAAGCAGCTCTACAGAAGACAGTAGTGTCGTTATTCAGCTCGAGTCTGTTCAGTGTTGATTCGGTTTAATAAGTGTCAATATTGCAAAATTCAGCTTGGAAGCGCTGTAAGAAGAAAGTTGTTTAATACTGGCCTCTTGTAAGATAAAACTTAACACGGTATCAAATGGTAATATCCTTCTATCATTTTCTGACTTAATAATTTGAATATTTTTATATTATTATTATTATTATTTTGGAAATGTTAGTTGCATACAAGTTGCATAACCTATAGTATCTACAAAAATAAGAGTTTAATAAAATAACTGAGATTACAATAAAACTGCTGGAAAACAAAAACTGGTTGAATGGTTTTAGCTGGTCTTCTTCCATCCTGATCATAGCTGGTTTGCAGGGTGATTTTAGAAGGATTTGGACCACTTCTATAGCTGGTCAGGCTGGTAGACCAGCTCACCAAGCAGCTAAAACCAGCTGAACACCAGCTGTCTTTAACCAGCTTAGCCAACCAACATGGTTTTAGCTTTTCTTTTTCTTCTTCTTCTCTCATCAGGTTAAATGTGGTATTAGTGGAATCTAGCCAAAATAAATTAACATGGGATCTCACTTAAACAGTGTAAGAAGACACATTTTATTATAAATGACAGTGAAGACTATAACCACCAAGTTATAAGAAATTATGGACACCATGGTCAATTTCAATGTTTTGAAATCCCACAGGGACTGCAGCATATAAACATTGTCAGGAATCCTGTGAAGACAGCCTACATATTTGTTATGGGCCATTACAGCATCTGACATTCCCTCAATTGTTTATTTTTTTTTTTTTTAATAATTTAAAGCTTAACCTGTATTCTTAAAAATGCACAGACACAATCGTGTGACGCAGCCCTTTATAAAGCCACGCCTGTGACATTCTTTATTTAAAAAGCAGAGAATAATAAAGCTGTCAGCTTACATGACAAAAGACAAAGTACAAATGATCACATGTTCATTATTTACAGATGAACTGATTCTTTTAAAGTGCTTCATTGAAAAGAAAACAACGTATCAATACAGAGATCTGTCTACAAAATATCATACAGCTTTGTAATTTATATAAAACATTTTTCAAGAATATATGTAGCGCCATTTTGTTTACTTATTAAACATATGGGTTGCATGATCCATTAAACGATTTAATAGATGATATTTATAATTTATATGATACTAATCAAAGAATATTAGCAATTCAAATGGAAAAGTGGACAGTAAAAACCTTTGGAGAAAATACTTAACATATGATTTATTTTAACATGTACAAGAATAAACATGGAAGTCACATGTCACACTGTACAAGAAGTCACATGGTTAGGTGGATCTGAAGCAAGCCAAACAACAAAAAAATCATTTCGTCACCATTCAGCCCGAGACGTCAAGTGTACTTCGGCTCCCTAGTGTCTGCAGTTACAGCTACTGGATTTAGTGAAAACCTCTGTGATTTACCCACAACCATGCACTGACGTTCACCCCATATTTGTGATTACAGTGCACACTAAATTCAAAACTCTGCTACAAAAGTGCTCAAAATGACTTCTTCATCAAGCTCAATGACATTAAGATGTTGGGGCTCTCCTCCATGACACGGACCAGAAGACTGTCTATATAAAGCTCTAGTTCCCCAATCTTAGCATCCTTCTGAGAAAGCTGCTGCTTCTGCTTTTCCAACAAGTTAATGAGTTCTTCATGGGTTAGCTGGGAGTACGGTCCCGTCCCTTTAGCCTCTGGGGCCTGAAAGATACAGTTGAACACAAATAGCATGCTTAAAAGTCAGCTGAGAACATCTTAAACAGCCATATTTCTATTCAACGCATGGTAAATGGCTACACAATAGTAGAACAGAAAAAAACCCTGCTCATGCTACCTTCATCTTAACTTGCATGTCATCTGTAATTTTAGCAGATCTGGAAGCGTCATGGGTCTCTCGGAGGTCTGGCTGCTTGTCAGTGGTGCTCAGGGGTTTCACTGCATGGGGTCTGAAAAGAAAAAGAGAGCTGCAAGTCTTACAGGCAGATCTGAGTTTGCAGGGGTGGAATACAAAGCAGTCAATCGCAGAACTCTGCCAGAAGACATTTGTGCATAACTTTGATATCATGCTTTGTAAAAAATGAGAAAGGATGATAAATACATACTGCCCTGAATTTTTGAATTTCAAAGAACATGGAGGAACTGCTAAATGTGAAAATTGATGCCTTTATTTTCAAAGATGAAAGTGTTCATATATGTGGTTTTCAATTATCGGATTTAGAATTCATGCAAAAATAAAAAGTTCACACTGGGAAATTAAACATCC